ACCCGATGGTTTCACATTTGCTTTCTATATTAAATGTTGAAGTATTGTTAAGGAAAATGTGGTGGAAGCTATCCATAGTTTTTTTTAAGGGTGAGACCCCGGGGAAGTATTTCTCTGCCGCTACTATTGTCCTCATCCCCAAAAATACTCAAAAAATCACTTGACACCATTTTAGGTCTATTTCTCTGACTTCAGTTATATCTAAAATGATTAGTAAACTGTTGGTCAAACGGATTCAACGTCATCTCCATAAATGAATATCTTCGAATCAATATGCATTTATTCAAGGGCGAGGGATCAAAAAAAATATTATGCTTGCGCAGAAACTTATTCAGGATATTGATAAGAAATGTAGAGGGGAAACATGGTTACTAAATTGGATATTCACAATGCTTATGACTCGATTAGTTGAAATTTTATCTTGCAGGTTCTTAAGGCTCGGGGCTTCTCTCAAGATTTTTGCAAACTAATTATCTCATGGCTTCATTGCAATAAATATAGTATCCTCATTCACGGTCAATCTCGGGGTTTCTTTAGTGCGAGTCGTGGGATTAAGCAGGGTGACCCCTTATCCCCTACTATTTTCATTTTGATATTTGATTCTCTCTAGCTTTTTAAATGATCTTTTCAGGCAAAACCCCACCTTGCAGTATGCTCATATATCCAATACGTTGGTTACGCATCTGGCGTATGTCGATGACATGATTTTGTTTTCTAATGCTAGCAAAAAAGCAGTAAGGAAAGTACACCGTTTAATGGAAGATTTCCAATCTGTTTCTGGGCTCCTTTTTAGTGCAAATAAATGCAACTGATACATGGGGAACACAGTCAATCGAATGTGTGATGGAATGCCAACTTTACTGGCTTCTCTCTTTCAACCCTTCCTCTTAAATATCTGAGGTTTTTTTTTTTATTTAAGAGCAGGAAAAGACGGATTCAGTTTGATGAGATGGTCGATAAAGTGCGAAAAAAAATTTTGGATTGGAAAAATAACTTTCTCTTTTTTGGGGGTAGAATTACTTTACTCATGAGTATTTTGCAATCTCTCCCTTTATATACTCTTCAAGCTTTCCAACTTAAGAAGAGTACCCTATTGAGCCTCGAAAGATGTTTTAACAAGTTCTTATGGGTAGGGTATCATTGGAGAATCATTCATAGGGTATCATTCAGGTAGAAGATGGATGCCTTGGAAAAATATTTGCAAACCAATTTATGTTGGCGGTTTGGGTTTTAAATCTCTGCATCATATTGTTGATATTAACATTTTTAAGCAATGGTTTAATTTCCGGAAATGGTATTCTTTGTGGGCCAAATTCATGCTTGGTAAATATTGCCACTCCTCGCATCGTGCTCTGATTAATTGGAGGTTGGGGGATTCCACGATGTGGAAGAGGATGCTTCATATTAAAGATTGGGCAAAGGAGTTCATTTACTGGGAGGTGGGGAGTGGTAATATTTCATTTGGGCATGATTTTTAGTCCCATGTTATGCTTGATATGAGGGATACAAGGTTTTCTAGCCTTCTGGTTTCTGACACCTGGGTGGATGGTCATTGGAATTTCCCTTTCCTCCTTAGCCTTTTAAGACTTAAGGGAGCTACTTTTAGTACCACAATTTCTATTGAGCCTCAAATTCAAGATACTCCCACTTTGAAATTTCCTATTTCTTGCTCCATTACCAATTCATTATATTCTGCTTTAGATAATTTTCATAAGCTCCAAGAGTGTTTGGAGTTGGGCTTTAACCCCGCCTATGTCTTTCCTGACTTGGCGGATTTTCCATTCGGTTATTCCTTGTGATGATATTTTAAAATTGTAGGGTTTGAGACTTGCTTCACATTGTTGTTTGTGTAATGCGGCAGAGGAGTCTATTGAGCATCTTTTCTTATTATGTCCCTCTTCACAGTTTATTTGGAGGATGGTTGGCCTTTGGTTTGGAATCTTTTTTTTACCACTCTTGTTTGTAATCCAGATCGGAAGCAGAAACATTTTTTTACAAGTTTACTCTTACATTATATGCTGAGTTATATGGATGGCTCAAAATGATATCAACCATGAGGGTAAAGTCATTCATAATACGATGGTTTTTACAAATATAATTGCTTATGTTGATAAGCTTTGGAGGACGGGTAATGCTAAACAATGCTTCTTTTCGAGCATCACTTATTTTCAATCTTTGGGGTCCACGACTATGGTTGGGGGGAGGATACCGCAACTCCCGGTTTTGGTGAGATGGCGGCCACCTCCCACGGGGTGGGTAAAGTTTAACACGGATGGGAGCTGGAAATCTTGCAGTGTAGGTTGTAGGGGCATTGCTAGGAATAATACCGAGGATTGTATTCCTCTCTTTTCATCTCCCTGTTTCGCTGATACTCCTCTTGAGGCGGAAGCTCGGGCCATCTTGACGGTTGTCATGATAGCTCATTCATTTAGTTGGCATTTTATTATTTTTGAAAGTGACTCTCGCATTTTCGTTGATATTTTTTGCTAATGGAGCTGATGCCTCTTGGGTTACATTAAGAGGATTAAACTATTAACCTCTCATATGTCTATTATTTGGAGGTTCATATATTGTGAGGGGAATAGACCCGCAAATTGGTTTGTTATATTTGGTAGCACAAGTTACAACTGTTGGGCCCCCCCCCCCCACCCCCCCTTTATACACATTCGTTGTTGGGGACAAGTTAGATGTTTCTTATGTCCGTTGTGGTTCCTGATAGCATATATGTTGCCCCTGTTTATTTTTTATAAATTTCAGTGGAATGGTTTGACCCCTGTTTTGCAAAGCAATTGGAATGGGCTATATGACATTTCTATGGTATTCAGGTCTCCTATCATCTACTTTTTGTATTCATACTTCGGTATTGGGATGGTTTGGATTATTTCTGTCAGCTGCTTAGGGGCTGGGGATGTGGATGCCCCTAGGCTGGATTATTTTTGTCTTGGTCTCCTCGGTTTACTGTCTTCTATGATGGAAAGGGATGTGGTTTCTCTCTTTTGTTTCTGTGTTTTGATCTCTGCAGGATTCTCATGTGGCTTGCACGACTTATTTGGGTCTCAACTGGATGTTGATGTTGTCTCTTCAAACTCATCGAATCACTCGATCTCTTTCTTCGATTTTTTTGGTTGTTTTTGGTGTACATCTATATATTGGGTATACTTTTCTTTCGGTATATTGGATCTCATGTATTTTGGGTACACAATACCTTTTATCACTTTTCTTTCATTTTTTTTGGCGTGGAGTTGTAATGTGGTTAGAGGAACCCCTAGGACCCTCCTTTTAGTTTTAGATGGGGATTTTCCCTCCCTCCCTCACTTTTGTACCTTCTTTTTATATTAACACGTAGGGAGTCACGTGCTGCTCTTTCCTTACTCTATATATATATATATATACTCACATACAAACACAAGGAAATAAACCTAAAGCATTTTTACTTTTGTATCCTTAAACATGATTCTTTATATAAGATTAGATCATGTCAGCTTATGATTATGTGTTTTTGTTTTCTTTTTTTTTTTGTTTGTTTGCTTGTTTGTTTGTTTTTGTTTTTGTGTTCTTTTTTTCTTTCTTTCTTTTTTTATATTTTTTTTTAATATTTTTTTTTATGGCTTATGGCGATGCATGATACGACATAATAATAGTTTAAATGACTTTGAGTCAATCTTGAGTTAAGATTAAAATTAAATCAAATAGCGGATTAAATCTTTCATGATGTTCATACTTTTCGTGTATAAAGGTGCTTATGGTTTTGTTTTATTATTATTAAGAAAGATTTCTTCTAGGATTAATCTTTAGCACTTTCAGATGAATCTGGTTCTCATTAAGATAGCATTTATTGAACTGCATCTAACGAATAGAGATCACTGGTTAGGCGCCACTAATTATGATGCTACATTCATATGTTAAGCACAGATTTGAAAGTTTAGGATTGCTTAATAAAGAATAAAAGGAGCCACAAATTAATGTACTAAATAATAAAAAATATAAGAGATGGATACAGTAATTAATAAAAAAATAGAAGTGTCATGAATTCATGTACTACATATGAAAAGGTGAACGCCAAATATTGCTTTTTCTCCAATTGGCCAAAACAGAAACTTTTTATTGCAACTTTAATTTATAAATTCCTTGTAATTAATAGCTTTCAATCTTTATTTTAAACTATTGATAAATGTATAACTACCCATTAAGGGAGTCAACAAAACAGTTCTCATTTTGATTAGTTTTCTCACCTTCACAAGCCAAAGATTCCATAAAAAGTTCCTCCAAATTCTCCTTGAAATTCAACAATTTTAACATGATTAAAACCTTTACAAAAATTATTGCTGCGAATCACGAGCAGTGATTAGTGAATGTTAATAAATTACAAGGCTACTCTTTGGTATCCAGACTAAGGCCAAAAAAAAACTTGCTCCACCTTAGAAAAGACGTCTATAAAATAGCATTTCGTTTGAGGTGGCTAAGGAAGTTTCTTGTGTTATCACCGGGATCAGTGGTTCCATTGCAAGATAAAAATAACTACTCACCACATATTAATGTATCCATGCTATTAAATACACCCTACAGGCATGCCAATTTTTCGTCCCTAAAGGGGAATGGATTGTGCTGTAAAAACAAATTGTAATATCTTCAATCAATATTCAATAGAAACATAGCATACAATCCAAAATTTCAATAATAAAGATCAGGACTAGGCAGAGAGTTTTGTCCCAATTGTGAGTTTAAAGTAATGATTATGGAAAGGACATCTCCTTTCGATAAGGGTACAGTTGCATAGAATAACAACCCCTAAAACGCACATTAATAGTATCCTCATTTTACGTTAGGCTAGCTTTTCTTATTGGTGCATGTAAGGATGCATATTTACCTATATGTTTCATGCTTTGTTTCTTAGAGGAAGTCCTGCTGGAAACTATGAAGAAAGGAGCAAAAATTTGCAGCTAATAGAGCATTACAAGTAAAAGGATGAATTTAAAATTTTCATTTAGCTGAAACCTTACCGGTTACTCATCCTTGAATAATTGTCATAAAATTCGAAAATGGCATCTGCAAGAAGCACAAGATAATGTCATCAAAAAGTTTTCCAAGCCTCAAAATCGTTTATGTAAACGGAGCTTCAAATAAATCACAATGCAGAAGAAAAAAATTGTCAGTTCTCCACAAAGTGTGCATCCCTACAATTTCAATTATCTTCTAGTTGCATTAACCATCAAAGATAATATATTCATGAATAATCATGCTTGACTCATTTTTGTTAATTGTTGCATTAGGTGTTAAGCCTATTCTTCTAAATTCATTTAAAAAAATATATATCCACGTCATCATAGTTGAGTTATAATTAACATATTTCTTCATAATCCTTTGGCCCTAAGTTTACTCATCTAATTGATACCTTTTCTATCCTTTATTGTATATTTTCAAACAGCTTGTTTATTTTTAAATAATTATTGTTTTTTTTTTTAAATGCCAGTAAAAACCTAGAACTCATATAAGTATTCATTCATCTATCCTTCCTAATTTTCGCATACATGCATCTTAAGATTAGGGCTGTCAAAACGGCTCGTCATTCTCAAACAGCTCGTGTTCGGCTCGTTAAGAAGCTCGTGTTCGACTCGTTCGCTAAATTAAATTTGTTTTGTTCGTGTTCGGCTCGTTTTGGCTCGAAATACTACTAATCAATTATATATATATATATAT